CTTTGTCAACATCACGAATCTAGTATTATTTTTGACATATCTCGATCTAGAAGATAAAAGAAAATATATATATATACGATGAATATATCATAGACATGTTAGAAATACCATTTATAGCGTCAAAATAACATTTGTAGAATAAGAAATAGAAAATTTAACAGAGTTAGATTGATAAACGGTATATCTTTAGTTGTCACGTTTTGAAAACGTGATTCTATTCTCATGTTTAAACATTTGTCTTAAACGTTTTGTTATATATATCATAGACATGTTAGAAATATAATTGAAAAAAATATCATTTAAATAAGTTTTTGAGTATTTTATAATTATTTTTTGGGAATTTCATTCATCCAAAATCATTCAACAATGTTGCACCAATCAGAAGATGGTTCAACCATTATACTCAAACCATTTTTCAAAACAATTTTGGTATTTGTTTGTTTTTTGGCTTTTGTGGATTACAAATCGAAACAATAATTTAAATTGTGCACCACTTACATGATGATCTCTACTTTAGTCTATAGAAATACAATGAACATGGAAAAAATACACTATGGGTTTGGCTGTTTTCGTTCCAAATGTTGGCATGACCTCCACCGATAATCTGTTGTTGATTTGGTATTTTAAAGTCTGTCAATCGTGCAAAAGTCATTAAACTCTTATTCTATAAGATGCAAAAGTACTAAAGCATAATCATTTAATTTACATAAACACATTGTTTATTACTTTTGTACATGTTGCAAACCGTCGCACGGCGCCGAAATTCGTTCCCTATCTCCTTCACTTCAAAAGTCACTGAAGACCCAAAAAAGCAATATTGTCGACATTTATCCACAACTCTTTTAAAACGTGTCTTATTATGTTTATCATCCAACTAGCTTAGCATGCAAGGTTTTATTTTGTCGACCTCAATATTCAATAGAAAAAAAAGTCTGGAATAAAAGAATATCATCGTATCATTAATTGTTTCACGTTTCATTTTGGTTTTACAATTTTCCCTATTTATATCCCCACTCGTCCTTGTTTCTTCCACCATCTACAACATTCATTCTTCCACTACATTTCTCTCCTTGAGTATCTTCATATCCTTTTTTTCTAACTTCCAAAACAATTCACAAAATGGCTACATGCTGGCCTGAGCCAATTGTTTCCGTGCAATCCTTGTCCCAAACCGGTGTACCAACTGTACCAAACCGCTATGTAAAGCCGGCTCATCAGAGACCGGTCTTTAACACCACCCAATCCGATGCTGAGATGGAAATCCCCGTTCTAGACATGGACGACGTTTGGGGGAAACCAGAGGGGTTAAGGCTCGTGAGGAGCGCGTGTGAGGAGTGGGGTTTTTTCCAAATGGTGAACCATGGTGTGAACCACTCGCTGATGGAGAGCGTGAGAGGAGCGTGGCGAGAGTTCTTCGAGCTACCGCTAGACGAGAAACGGAAGTATGCAAACTCACCGGACACGTACGAGGGATATGGAAGCCGCCTTGGGGTTGTGAAAGATGCTAAATTAGATTGGAGTGATTATTTCTTCCTCAATTACTTGCCTTCTTCCATAAGAAGCCCCTCCAAGTGGCCATCTCAGCCTCCTAAGATCAGGTACCCATGCATATAAATTCTTGTAATTTATTTGTCTATACATATGTGGTTTAGGTCTATATATTTATATTCCTGAGTGTAGAAATTGTAGATGTTTACGAAACCGTTTACTAAAAGGAGATTTCTTACTAAGTGAATGTTTTGCATATATGGGGACACGTTACTTGTGTGTGTTTTTTATTTTTAGGAGTTCAAGCATCTGAATTATGTGGAAGTACTCAGATTGCATAAACGTACACACATGGCCGTTTGGTCTAAATGTTTATTTAAGGCACGTGTTCTTATGTGTGAACACGTTACATATGGTCATTATACCCACGTGAACATGACTTTTCTTTTATAATACATAAATAAATGTGTATATACACATATTTGACCGATCGACCCAAATTAAATAAAATGGAAATCTTGTGTTATTTATAACTTAGGTCTTGAGATTTACTGATGGCTTACTTCAAAAAAAAAATTCAGTTAACGGATCTCACAATAAAGTTTTATATAGGCATCGATTGAATTAATATCGAGAAAATAAATCTATTAACCAATTATAGATTTTCTGTTCTATATTTCTCTCATAGAGATAAAGATAATTTGTAATTAACATATATCGAGGAAAAAACTAATTTATGTGCAGAGAATTGATTGAAGAGTACGGAGAAGAAGTGAAAAAACTGTGCGAGAGGCTGACGGAGACATTGTCAGAGAGTTTAGGTTTAGAACCAAACCATCTCATGAAGGCTTTAGGAGGAGAAGACAAAGTCGGAGCTTCTCTCAGGACAAACTACTACCCAAAATGCCCTCAGCCACATCTCACTCTAGGTCTATCTTCCCATTCTGACCCTGGTGGCATCACCATTCTTCTCCCGGACGAGAAGGTCGCTGGCCTCCAGGTCCGTCGTGGTGATGGCTGGATCACCGTTAAATCAGTCCCCAATGCTTTGATCGTTAACATTGGGGATCAGATTCAGGTATAATATCTTACTTTCTTAAACTTAATATTGTGTGATAATTGATCTACTTTCTTGAAATGGACTCTACAAATACTAACCAATAATAATGTTGGATATATCGATATGTAGATACTTAGCAATGGAATTTACAAAAGTGTGGAGCATCAAGTGATCGTTAATTCCGGTATGGAACGAGTCTCTTTGGCATTCTTCTATAACCCGAGAAGTGATATCCCGATTGGACCAATCGAAGAACTAGTAACAGAAAACCGACCTGCTCTTTATAAACCGATCAGGTTCGACGAGTACCGTTCTCTGATACGGCAAAAGGGTCCTTGTGGAAAAAACCAGGTTGATTCACTGTTATTAAGTAGATGATAATTGATACACATTCCAAGTATATATCTCTTATTCCTATGTCCTTGATATAGTCGTTACTAAATAATATGAA